CTGGTTTGGCTAGTGTCATTGTTATGTGTGCAAAGCATAGCAAAGGAAGGAACACTTAATTTGAATTTTATAAGTTTTTTATCAAGCTTGCTTAATATTATGCACAGCATACAACCTTTATTGTGTTTATTTATTGTATTTTATTTATTAAGGAAAATATTTCTGTAGACTTTTGGAGTCTTTGTTTTTATCCTTGTGGTATCGAAAATGGTATCGAGTATCGAATATTTTCCTTAGTATCGGTATCGAGTTGAAAAGTTTAGTATCGTGACAACCCTACACAATACATAATTTAACTTACTTTAATATACAAATACTTGCATATACTTTAGGCCAGGGGTCACCAGTATGGTGCCCTCAAGGACCTCACAGGGGCCCCTCAATCTTCTGAAAACAACATCTCATCAGTGGGCTGTTTGAAATGTTATTTTATTCTGTTGCTCTTCTATTTTTTTATCATTTATAGAGCATTTTAATATTGACAAAGTCTAAAATAAAACCCGATATTAAAAGAAGCAATAAAAAGATGTTTATAATGTACAAAGTTTAGGTGAAGGCTGACCCTTGCAGTTCATGTGTCACATTGGTAACCCTTCCTATGACTCAGTACCGTTAAAGTAGCCCTGAGCCTTAAAAAGGTTGGGGACTCCTGCTGTAGGCTATTAAATGTTGGCATTTCAAAACTAAAAATGTCCTTAAATTAAGGTATAATGCAGGATGTTGCTTTTCTGGGTGGATCATCAAAATAAGTGGTCCTCCTAATTGTCAATCATTCTGGTGATGTTCTGGTAAGGCTGTCCCACGTTCTGTGTCTAAAGGTTAGGGATTACTTCCCAGCCTGAATGAGAATACGCTATACAGTATGTCAGCCATCGTCATTATGGAAAATACCCAGGATCAAAATTGCACATGAATATCTACTCATGCTGTAATTTGTACTGGAAAACTGGAAACATTTGCATCATTAAGCATTCTCCCTTGTTGTGTTTATAGCCTACACAATGCTTTAACATATATACACTCACCGGCCACTTTATTAGGTACCCCATGCTAGTAATGGGTTGGACCCCCTTTTGCCTTCAGAACTGCCTCAATTCTTCGTGGCATAGATTCAACAAGGTGCTGGAAGCATTCCTCAGGGAGTTTGGTCCATATTGACATGATGGCATCACACAGTTTCCGCAGATTTGTCGGCTGCACATCCATGATGCGAATCTCCCGTTCCACCACATCCCAAAGATGCTCTATTGGATTGAGATCTGGTGACTGTGGAGGCCATTTGAGTACAGTGAACTCATTGTCATGTTCAAGAAACCAGTCTGAGATGATTCCAGCTTTATGACATGGCGCATTATCCTGCTGAAAGTAGCCATTAGAAGTTGGGTACATTGTGGTCATAAAGGGATGGACATGGTCAGCAACAATACTCAGGTAAGCTGTGGCGTTGCAACGATGCTCAATTGGTACCAAGGGGCCCAAAGAGTGCCAAGAAAATATTCCCCACACCATGACACCACCACCACCAGCCTGAACCGTTGATACAAGGCAGGATGGATCCATGCTTTCATGTTGTAGACGCCAAATTCTGACCCTACCATCCGTGTGTCGCAGCAGAAATCGAGACTCATCAGACCAGGCAACGTTTTTCCAATCTTCTATTGTCCAATTTCGATGAGCTTGTGCAAATTGTAGCCTCAGTTTCCTGTTCTTAGCTGAAAGGAGTGGCACCCGGTGTGGTCTTCTGATGCTGTAGCCCATCTGCCTCAAAGTTCGACGTACTGTGCGTTCAGAGATGCTCTTCTGCCCACCTTGGTTGTAACGGGTGGTTATTTGAGTCACTGTTGCCCTTCTGTCAGCTCGAACCAGTCTGGCCATTCTCCTCTGACCTCTGGCATCAACAAGCCATTTCCGCCCACAGAACTGCCGCTCACTGGATGTTTTTTTCTTTTTCGGACCATTCTCTGTAAACCCTAGAGATGGTTGTGCGTGAAAATCCCAGTAGATCAGCAGTTTCTGAAATACTCAGACCAGCCCTTCTGGCACCAACAATCATGCCACGTTCAAAGTCACTCAAATCACCTTTCTTCCCCATACTGATGCTCGGCTTGAACTGCAGGAGATTGTCTTGACCATGTCTACATGCCTAAATGCACTGAGTTGGCGCCATGTGATTGGCTGCTTAGAAATTAAGTGTTAACAAGCAGTTGGACAGGTGTACCTAATAAAGTGGCCGGTGAGTGTATATATTCCTTTAAAAATTATATCACCATTTAATTTCTTTTTTTAATGACCGTTATGATTTAATTTTATCAGATGCTCACTAGCAGTCAGCTGATGCATGTGATGCATCCTCTTCTTCCTGGAGCAGATGAATAAGGAAGTCTTTCTTGCCCAAGTAGCAGGTCAGGATAACAAAAGCACTTGAACGCAACACGCTGGTAATTTCCACTTAATAACTGGAAAGGATCATCTTTAGCATACCACATGAAGTCAGCATGAGTTGATTGAAATCTTTTAGGAGCCGTCCAATGCATGCGCTATTATTATTTCCGTAACCATGACCACAAAAGACATGCTCTATACAGCATGGCTGACTCATTTCTCAAACATTTACAGTGTGTGTTTGAAGGAAGATCTGCAGATAATTTTCTACTCAGTCCATTTAACATATAGGTCTTAATTTGTTTTTACATAATTTGAGGTTTATTCTTAACCCCTAGAACCCTACGGACCCACCGGTGGGTTCAGCTGCTACGTGACCTCGTAATTTTAACAAACCCCCAGTATTGATGTAAAAAACACATTTGGCGCAGTTTGGTGACATTTTTGGATAAATGTGCCAAAATGGCCTCTCTGCCTAAGAAATTTCTCACTAATACCATTCTAAAATAAATATGATTCATCTGATTGAGTCCAAATTTGGTATATTTTTACACAACATTTAGATTTAAAAGTCTGTACTACGTTTTTGTGCTATAAATAATATTTTGGTAGTGTTTTGCAATGTTTATTTCAAAGAAAATTTTGGCGAGGTTCAAAAAATGCAAAATATTTTGTATTTTGTCCCTAATATTTCAGGCAGGGTCAAAGCTACAATGGTGCTTACACCAGAAAACCATTCTATGACATCTTACCTTTACAGAGGTACCAAAAGTTTCTTCTTAAATCTAATAGCTGTGAGGCTATAAGTGATTTACTTTTGTGTGTTTTTGTCAGGCAGAAATTTATTTATACCCCCTTAGGGTGTAAGAGGTTAATATAACAGAAGGTATTCTCCTCTTCTGATCACATTTTCATTGCAGGGCACTTTGCTTAAGTAATTTCCTAATCCTACCATATCTGCTTTGACTTTAAGTATAACTGGAAACATCCCAAGCTAAACTGCTTAATGATGAGAAGTGTCTACAACATACAGAAGAGTTGGGGCCTCAAAAGAGATTGTGGTGAGATAGAGAGCCCAATCTGTAAGCAAACCATTAAAGTCCCATAAAAACCAGATAGAGAGGCTACAGGGAAATGTATTTGCTGTCTGGAAGCGGAGAACACAGCAAACAAGCATGCAGATCTGTTTGGAGGGGAGGCTATAAAAAAAAAACAACCTTGCTGTGCGATTGATACATCAAAACCGATGAGGTGGAGGTCATACGGCCATTTCTGACTGCTGCTGCATCAAGGTTGGACTCAAACTGATGGATAACTTTGACTGACTTGTTCTGCTTTTGACTAGATTCATTTTTCATGTTTTACAATTTTATGGTAAGACTAAGATGTCTTCTTATATAAAAACAACTCAAATGATAATATATAAAGTTTCTTTACATCATATTGAAAACTGTATGACACTAAAGTCAAAATCAGGCCCAATTATAGATTTAGGTTTTTTACATATTAAATATCTATATGCATGTGCTTCAAACCGATGGGCTGGCGACCTGATCAGGGTTAACCTGCCTGACACTGCAAGGCAAATGGATACAGAAGACGGATGGATATATTCATATGAACAATTCCAGCTGGGATCAGGCAAATCTGGTTGTTTCATGTCTAGGTTAAAATGAACCCTGATCTTCTTTAAAAGGAAGCAGGGTTAGATAGTGAGCAGGAAATAATCAGGTAGCCGGTAATTCAGCCATTTGATGCTGATTTGTTTGACATCCCTCCAAGTTACTGCTGCTGTCTCACATGAGAATGTTTTGGATTAACATCACCACCTGCTGAGCTCTTTTGGTACTGCACCCTCTTACCTAAGCCCTAAAGGTGCTCAAAATGTTTTTTCTTTGCCTTTTTAGACCATGGATCCCCATGAATAATTGATTTGTTTTCAGTTTTTTTATCAGTACAAATTCTACAAATTTATCTTAATAATCAATATCCAGTTTTTACTTTTCTTATTAAAAAGTTCTTTAACACAACTAGACAAGCAGCAGATTCTAGATCACTGATAGTGATCTAAATTTGTCTCATCAGAGCTGATCTGTTTCTTTTTGCAAACCTATTTGTTCTGAAGACCAACACGATTGTTTTAGTGCATTATAATTTGGGGGCCACTGGGTTTTTAAAGTGAATACTTCATAATATTCTTGCAAGCAGTTTTTACAGCTTTTTACTTGTGGTATTGTGCTTGGGGAAAAAAAAAAAATCTGTATCTCAGGAGAAGCCAAACTATTTCCCAGATATAAAAATATTGGAAGGAAAGATTAATAAAATCTTCTGCCTTCATGTAAGGTTGGTCGCTTGAAGGGTAAAGGTAAATTACTGTTTTTCTTGCAGCTAAAAAAAAACACATATTTAACATATAAAAAAAAAAACATATTTCACAAATTTTATAACAAGGTAAACTTTGACAATCCATTTGTTACTGATGCATTTATTCATACCACAGAAAGCTAGTTTTCAGCACTGTAATCAGGTTCCAGCTAGCATGGGTATGAGTCCCTTGTTGAGGAAATAAAACAAGACGATCGCTGTCATAGTGGGATTTTATCTTTTTTAATCTTTCACATCTCGATGTTAACTTTCAGGTGTTTCCTCAGGATCTTTTCATAGAAACACAAGTGATCAGAGCAGCAGGCGATGCATGTCAAACTGTAAGCTTAAAAACCTTCACATTGTTTGGGTATCATGAGGTCTTTTATGAGGGAAGGTTTAATTCAGCAGTTCTTGGTCTATGTGATGTCATCAGCAAATAGTGTAACTGTGGCTCCAAACAGTTAAAACCGATTTACAGTGAAGACCCGTGTCTCAGTCTGTCTTATCCCTTGTGGCTTCAGCTCCTCTTTGATGGGATATGTGGGTGAGGCCAGTTCCTGGAATGGAAGAAGCCTCTGAGTCCTTCCAGGTCTACAGCAGGGAAATAAGCTCCGATGCGTTTTCTCAGCCACCACTTGCCCTGCGCTGCGCTGGCACTGCCCGGTTGTGTGAACTTATACCTGAAGTGTTCCCCTCGAACCCATCTGATAGAAGGACAAAGTAGAAGCATAGAGGTAACATGATGTCACAGATCCATTTGCTTTTGATTACTAATGAGGATCAACTTAGAATAAAATGCCTGGAAGTGAACATCTGTGAGATGGTATAAAATATACAACTTAGTATTTTTCCTTCAGCTCTTACCAGCCTCTACATCCTTCTGAGAAAGACATTCCCACAGCATGACGCTGCCACTATCGTGATCAAACTCAGACTCTTTATACCAGTCAGGCGACATCCAGAGGTTGTTAGGTACTTTGACTGCAGGGTATCAGAGTTCAGACTCCCCATAAGCTAAATAATTATTGTTTCAATTTGTCACAAAAAAGACAAATAATGAGCTGTAATCCATGTTTACCGTAATTTTCGGACTATAAGCCGCACCTGAATATAAGCCGCAGAAGATAAATTGCATGATTTGTACATATACAAGCCGCACCGGACTATACGCCGCAGGTTTTTTTATTGTTTAATTACCATATGGTTGATGCACAGAGAGGATTGTCTGGAAAGAGGCAACTGTTTGGGGAAGCTCCTATCTATTAACATTTCAACACAATTGAATTGAGACAATTCTTCCTGCTGGCGTCTCCAACGTCTCACCATTGACTCGTTGATTCCAAGGTTACGTGCAGCGTTTCTATTTCCTTCGTTTACTGCCAAATTGACTGCCTTTAACTTAAAAGCTGCATCATATGCATTTCAACGTTAGTTTTCCATACTGAGGTTGTCACACAAACTGTCTTGCGCTCGCAATGTCGGTCTTTCTCGGAGTCCGCCTTCCCGCACGCGCGGCTACTTGTGTGTTGAAGCAAATGTGACGTCGACATGGTGGACGTCACATTTAAGTCCATAGATAAGCGGCATTGTTATATAAGCAAGTTATATAAGCCGCAAGGTCGAAAAATGGTCAAAAAATGGGGGAAAAGTTGCAGCTTATAGTCCGAAAATTACGGTACTCTCCAGTTTGAGAGAATATATATGCATCTCTCTCTCGCTCTCTCTTTTCTCTATTTAACTAGTTCTGAATTAACTCCTTGTTTGAAACATTTTTTTCAAATACTTGGAAACCCATTACAAATTTTATTTCTGCTTTAATTTAATTTTAGTTTTTTTTATATTTTTATTTTATATCTGCTCTCTTTTTCTATTGTTATTATTAGAAGAAGACACATCATTAAATAGAAATAAAGAAAAATTGTATTTTTTAAATCATTGCAAATGTCATTTATAATTAATTCCACCAGGGGGAGCCTGAAGGCAGAAAGTGATTTGCTCAAAAGAGGTGAAATATGCGTGTGATGCTCGTGTGTTTACCTGGGGGGCTCTCTGCCTTGGAAGGGGTTGTGGTCGAGCAGTGAGAGGACAGTGCTGTCATTGGACAGCAGGCGTCCTGCTATGTGGATGATCCACTCGCTCTGCTCATAGGTCTGAACAAACAGTTATTCCAGTTTCAGTAAAGCGCAACAGAAAGAGAACTAATCAAATGTAGAAAAGTGAACCCTTTCCCAAACAAACCAAAGCAGTTGTGATCTCACCTGGAAGGCAGCGAACCACATGAGCCAGTCCAGCCGGTAGTGGTAGGGGGAAATGAGGCAGGGCCGCCGGTAGACGTCTCCTGGCTTACACCTGAACTGGTACTCCTCCCAAACTGCCTCAGGGTCTTTGGGATCTGGGCTCAGAGTTCCCTGGAAGATCACCTCAGTCCGCTCTTTGGTGATGCTGCTCAGAGGAGAGAGGAAGCAAAGCAGAGTGAAAAGTTTTAATCAATTTATCTCCATGATGCTTTCATAAGAGATCAATATTATAAAGATGGGTTGATAACGTCTGGTTTTCTGCATGATTAATATTCTTCAGGATGTGACAAAAGGACCAACGCAGATGTTCAGGAAAATTAGATTTCCTTATGACAGAGAAACAAGCAAAGCTTTTTTAATTCTAGTCATGATCATGTACATCCTTCTAATCATGGGCCTTTTTTTTAATCTAACTTAAAGTTTGTTCTAGTTCTTTAAGCCCTTTTATACAGGCTCAGTTATATTCATACACACCAGTGAAATGTAAAACATTTTTGGCAAATGCTACATGTTCAACATCACCATCGATGAGCTTCGGGTCTTGTAAAAAGGAATGGCTTCAAACATGTGATGGACACCAAACCTACCTGCCAAACGCGCCGTAGGTGTTGACGATCCTCAGCGGGTCGAAGGACGTGTTCATCACCTGCCTGGGGCTCAACAGGTTGATTACCACTGGGACACTCAGGCAGCCAATGAGAACCCCCAAAGAAATGTTCAACACCCGGCGGACCAGCATCCCTAACACATGCACAGAGGAAGAAGGAATTATGGAAATCCAGAAAGTTTCTTCTGGCTTCCTTTCTGGGAATAATGTTTATTGGTGTAAATGTTAACAGCAGCAGGATGCCACAGTCTGTGTTATTAGGAGTGTAAATCTCACTGGTGACGTGTTATTGGGTTAATATTCATCAGAGGATCAGGTTACCTCAAAGGATTGTGGGGATTTTAAAGACGTGGCCAAAGCTGTCTGTTCTTTCCAACCTGCCTGCTGTACTCCTGCATGCTAAGGAAATTTATATAAAGCTGTTTCTTTTTCTAACCAAAATCTCTCTTGGTCTGTTTAAGTGATTAAAACAATGCTCCCAATGCAGAAACAAGCTTATTCTAAGCCCAGTTATGACACCAAAGATCAAATGAGTCCAGTTATAGAGGAGCCACACTTTTATGTTTATAAAAGCTTAAGCTATTAAAAGATCTGTCCAAATGCTGATCCATTTTATCCCATAATTCATTCTCACTTATGACCACACCATCTGTCTTCTCAGGAATCTATTAAAGCTTATACAGATCCATTTTATACGTTCCTTACAATGATTTTAATCATCTACCTATGCTTAGAGGCTTTTCTATGTGGAAAAGATTGTGAAAATAGTAAAACAACCATAAAATAATGTGGCACTAAACAAAAAGCCAATGTAGGTAAGAGAGGAAAGAGAAAAGGTTTTTTTTCCCCTGAGCTATAATCATCACTATTACATTCTTCTTGTTAAAAGCGGGTTTCTCCTCTCCACAGTCGCTGCATACTTGCTCTGTGTGAGGGACTACAGTTTAGTCAATGACAAAATGGAAGTGAATGTTTGCTATCGCCACATGCTCATCCAGGAGGAGCATGCAAAAAAAGTCAGCTGTAATTCCAACCTAAATTTTCAATAAATTACATTTGTTGTAACTTAGAAACAATTGACAATTTTTAGGCTACATAATTATATATAATCCAACAAATTATCTATTTTTTTTTTCAGTTGCTACTCCTGCAGCTGGCATGACAGTCCAGGGGACACTGATTTAACTTGTTTCGTCAAAAGGACAAACAGTCAGAGATCAAGCTACAGTTCAAATAATATGTGGAACAGAAAATGGAAAGTTTATCTACATGGTAGGACTTGCATTCATTTCACTCGATTGCAGCTCATTTTGTTTTTACATAGAATATGGAACAAAAATTCATCAAATTAAGAGTTTTGTGAGAGAGATGGAGTGAGATGCAGGGATGAGGTGTGTCTGTGTATTAACAGGATGGTGTTGGTTGATGGAGAACTGATACTAAGTATTTACATCACCTCATGCCTCCATCGGTAGTTGTCATGGACTGTTTTCGGATCAAATGATTTTTCTTTTTATATTATTGTATCTTTGATTTATTTAGTTTTTGCTTCTGCAATAGTACAACCCGGTTTATTTTACTGTTTGGCTTTTATTGGTCCTTAAATTCTACTGCTCAGCTCTCAGTCAGTAGATAGATGATTGAATACCTCTGATAAGTGCTGGAAGTTGTAACCTTCCCACTTATAAGTAGCCTTAAAGGGCATTATCTGGCGGTAATTATACAGATTTGCATTGCTCATGGCGCACGCTGATTTACTCACAGGGGGAGTGTTGGCCTAGTGATTAGAGCAGTGCCCTTGTGCTCTGAGAAGGTAGCAAGTACCCGGTTCGATCCCCACAGCCTCCACCCTGAGTTCCTGAGCAAGACTCTTAACCCCACACTGCTCCCTGGGTGCCACACAATGGCAGCCCACTGCTCCTCAAGGGTTGGGGTGCATTGGGCTGTTTCAGGATTTTTTTTTTCTTGAAATGTAGATCTTTTGATCTTTCTATGAAAAACGTGAACATAAGCTAACTGATAGGTCAGTGTTTTTTTTAAAAGGCTTTTTGACTATTTTATTTAAGTTTAAGTTATGTTCTAAATATCAGTTTTAAAAGGCTGCTTTTACTTGCCTTGCACATTTAAACCTGACTTAACTTGATATTTGTTTGCACTTAAAGGGAATTCCCTATTGTTTCCAATTGTTCTGGTTACTTCTTAACTTGAACATTGCACAGAAGAATCAACAGAATATTGATGTTCATGGCTACAACTTGCACTTTAAAAGCACTATGTGATCAGCATATTATGTTGTAATGATCCATAAATACAATAATAAATTGCCTGTTGACTGGCAAAAGCAGAAAAACTGTCTGTATTTTTTTGCTATTATCATCACAAACACTATCGTGAGCTATTTAACAGTACCGTGAGCTTTTCCACAATATCGCAATAAATATCGTACCGAGAGGTCAATATCGAAATTGTATCGTACCGTGAGATTTTGATATCGTTACATCCCTACTCACAACATCAATTAAAAATGTTGGACTATAAAATTTATAAAATAACATTTATTTGATTTAGTTGTGATTTTTTCGACAATTAATAGTTAAATAGGAAACGCGGGGAAACATGAATGTAGGGAGCTGTTACATTCACAGCTGGGAAATGAGATAATTTAACAGCCAGTTAAATAAGACAATGCAAATGTATCGGTCACATGGTTAAATTAAATGCTGTGTGTCCCAGGGCCCTGGAATAATTACATGAAGGAAAAATGTCAGAAAATGCCTTCTCCTGAAAATTTGAGCTAGCGTGGAGCAATTTCGCCAGAGTGGCAGGAAATTAAAGGTGAGCGTGGAGTGGATTTTGATCGGAGCATCCTGGCGCAACTTTGAGCAGTGGAGCGAACGAGCGAACATCATCCTGAGCGGGGAGCAGGAGTTTGTTCACATGCTCTGATGCAGAGAGTCTTTTCCTCAGTGTGAGATCAATAAAGATCAATTATTATCATTATTATTGCATCATGTTTATGAGGATCATTTACTGGAGTTAATGTTTGTGGAATCTGACATGTTTTGTTCATAAAAGTTAACGGTATGAGAAATTTACACCAAGAATATGAAAATATTGTTGCATGAGGACCAATGACTCAATGCCTTTTATATTCTGATTGAACCATCACTGTAAGTGAAATGATGTGTTGGGAATTGGCGCTATATAAATACACTGAATTGAACCTTCTTTATACAATCCTCTTGTCTAATTGGCCAGCCCTCATTCTTATGTTATAATACCGATCAGAAAGGTCGTTTGGATTTTTGAAAGGGATCGTTTCTGGAGAGAGAAATAAAAAAGAAATGTTAAGAAACCTTTTGAGGGTTTGGGGGCTTTTCCGGTCGCCTCCTTCCTCTGGATCTCCTTCACTGCTTTTTTAGCTCCAGAGCCGCAGCGAAAGAGAAAGCTCAGCGATGCATCATCAAAGCACGCCAAACTAGGGACAATGGTCAGCCAGTTAAGAAAACTGAGGTTCCCACTGATGATCAAAACCACCTGCAGGTCAAAGTCAAAAAAGCTACATACTGTTAGAACATCACAACAATGGCATTGTTTTTTAATTTGTCAGTTTTAATGTGAGCTACCTGAAAAAGAATATGGATTGCTCCGTTAAACGAACACATGCGTCTTCCAAGGAAGGTGAAGAAGGGAGCGATGAGCTCGATGAAGTGGTTGGATAGCGTCTCGAAGCGATGGAACCACCAGGGAGAGCGGTGCATGTAGTAGGACATGGGGTTTGGTACCGGCTGGGTCTGGAGAAATACACCAGGAATTCCATTAATCTGGTGACCAGAATCGGTTCATTTTAAACTGGATTGGCTCTGATAAACTTATTTAAACCAAAAAATATTTTAAAAATCCTAAAAGATGAATTGAGGGAAGGCATCAGAGCTGGGGTGAGGCATCACTCCCTTACCTCCTGCACTGGATATAAGGGAGGATGATGAACAGCCTTCTAGGGCCAAATTAAAAAGGCCTTAAAATCTCTTAACTGCATTCACTACAGTTTTGTTCTCTATATTCCATTATAACAGAAAAAAAGCTTAGTCTCCGCTGCGCTTCTTCAGCCTACATCACAACCAGTACCTGATTGGTTCCCGCAATGCAATTTTATGGAAAAAAAGTTAAAAAATGTTCAGCTTCAGCGGACACTGCTGCGCTCTCTCCATGCAACGCTGCTTATTGACAGCACCTCATTTCTGTCAAGCACCACACGGTCAACGGAGTGGTGACTTCTCATTTAATTTTACTGAGACGTCGGTAATCTAGGGTGGGATCCCCCCCAGTTATCCAGACTTGGCACCATAGGATTGGTGTGTATCGGGCAGAGTTAAATTACCTGTAGATAATGGGAAAGGTTTTGCAGTTCTATCGTAGTAGAACAAAAGGCAAGGTTTCCGGGGAATTGTCAACTGCCCAAGGAGAAATTTTTGATCAAATGCTAACAGCTTTAAAGATAATTAGAAATCAAATACTGGAAAATTAGCTCAAACAAAGTCCTCTTGTTCTCCATAAAAAAAAAAAATCAAATAAATAAATGTAATCTAACAAAAACTTCCAACTGTTTTTAATATTCTTTTTTTGTTTCTGCATTTTTTTATTTTATTTATTTTTTATTTTTTCCCTACTTGCTTTGATTCTGTTTTATCTTCCTGTATTTTAATCATGTAAAGCACTTTGCATATTCTTTGTACTGAATTGTGCTATACAAATAAATTTGCCTTGCCTTGCCTTGCCTTCTCTCACCACGTAGAATTAACTGCTGGCCCCTTCACTGCTGTTTTTCGCGCGGTTTGCATAAAGATACTATGTATATCCACCGCTCTTGCCACGAACACTGTGTGCGGCGTCCTGTACCTTTAGACTGCTGGAGGACGTAGGGACCACTTTTCATCATTTTGCTTAATTTTATTTTTACTTTCCAATTTTGCATAAAGTGTTAGTTCAACCCAGGCCACAGTGATGCGTTCAGGTACCAAAACATGGTAAGGTTTTATTTTTACATGATTAAGTACTGATGGAATTCCATTGGTACCCAGTGTTGGGCAGTTGCACCATTACTAGCTTAACTACATTTCTCAGTAGCGTGGTCGTAGCATTGCTGTCTTCTACATCAAAAAGCATTTTAGTAGTGAGGCTAAAGATTCTTCAAGCTACTTTTACCCAGACATTTCTAGACCTTAAACATATTCCTCCTCCTCTTTTGACACAGAATTCGTAGGAGTATAGCAGCCTTTTAAAGTTGTATTCATCCTGGTTTCCGCCTTAGACTGTGTATAAAATGATTCCCACGAGAATTGTCTTCAGCTGGTGTAGGTGGATGAGCTGGAGACAATGGAGGGGGACGAGGAAGAGGCTTACTACGTCCAACTCAGATTGGAGCAAAAACATGCTGCTACATTTAGGTATTTGCTTAAGTTAAATCAATCAGCTAAGCTGATCATCACAACTCAGCCAGCAAACATCACTAGCTAACACAGTTTTAGCCAAAAACGTGTCCTTAAGAAACAAAATAATAACCTTTTGTAAGGTATGTTAGGTTTAGGGCTAAGGTGTGAATTGGGTTAGGGTGAGATATGCATTGGTAATGGTTAGGTTTAGGGTTGGGGCATCGAAAGTGTTGAAAATGACTGAAAATTAATGGAAGTCAACACATGAAAAGCATTCATGCAGGAAAAGTTAGGAACGGTTAAATAAAAAAAAAGGGTTAAATAAAGAATTTTGTTTCATTTGCTCAAATATCCCTGAGTTTTAACTAGAAAGGTTTACTGAGGTTTTTAGTTAGGTATTCTCTTTAACTCGTTAAATTTGATACATTTAGCTTGTGAGGGCTTCTGATGGACAGATGGTAATTTTCCCTGCTTTACTTTGGCACTGGTCTCAGTGTGGGTCCAGGGAGTAATTTCTGCTCCACACCTAGTGGGGAACGTTTCCAAGACTAAATAAAGATGGAACTTTATTTAAATGAAGGTGGGTGCACCTTTACATAGGAAAACATTGGTTTCTCAGTGTTTATCCATGCAAACTGCGTAATGGCTGGACAGGCAAACAGACTCTGGTTGGGTGGGGAAAAATAAATATAGCACAAATATAGGAGGAGCAAAGGAAAAAAAAATAAGGTGGTAAGCAACAGATCAATTCTTCTGTTGTATTCTATAATGAAACGCAGAAAAAAAACCCTGGATTTTTTGACAGGTGGGGAACCAAAATCTCAGTCGAACAAAGCGCCCCACATGGCCTGCTAATTGCCTGTGCTGCGACAAACCAACCGGTCTGAACAAAGTGCCAACTGTCCTGCAATGCACTGCCACGGTCCCCTGAGATTCAGGACAGGAAGAAACCTGCAGACCTTCTGCAGGACTGAAAGGGAGCAATGTTTAAGAGGGGCTAACACGGCGTCTGCTGGCGCCATGGCCTTCCGCTCTCAGAATGCGTTTGCATGCAAGTGTGTGTGCTTGTGTGTGTAAGTCAACATTAGCGCTGAGAGTGTTGACAGCTGAATTTGGAGAAGGGAAACTGACCCAGCAAGGTATAAGCTCCATAAAGCATCATCAGCAAACATCATTTGCCTTTCAGATTTAAAATGAGAATCATTTTCTTTCACCTAGAAAGAAACTCAGAAACCAGGTTAAAAGTTGAAATATTACACAACACTGCAGCTAGGTAACACCAACAAACAATGTGTGGACCAATATGTAAAGATGCAGCTTTATCTGCATTTTTCAAAGCTTTTCTGTGGAACAGAAAAAGATTGCAATTCTAAACTCAATTCCAATGTCTCATTAATGTAAAGATAATCTGAAGTTCTTTCTTCCTCATTGGGTGGAACAGGGCGACATTAACACATTTTTATAATAAATAAAGCCTTGCAAAAGTCAAGTTTTGGGGATTTTTAATTCCTACAAAATAAATCTAATGAACCCATCTAATAAACCAACTATCCTCCATATTGTTATGGGTGATACCATCACTTTGTCCTTGTGGAGATCTTACCCAGTCATGTGTTTAGACTGGAGCCTTTAAAATAACTACAGAAGGAATTCCTCCTCCTCCCTCTGAGGGTTTGTAGCACATATCAGTGAGGCTCAGAGACACAATCACTGCATGACGTTCCAACCCAGCACAAATGAGAGATGTGTGGGTGTAACTTATTAGACTCTGGGAAGATTCTATGTCTGTTTTATTTGTCTGCACTTTACAAAAAAAAATTAAGCACAAAAAATTGATTTAATTACGTAATTACTTTAATTAGTAAAAGCAGGCGTTTAAGGATCACCATCACATTAATCACTGCAGTACAGTGACAGTCAATGGAATGAAGCCAGCAAATAAAGACTGACCTCATAGTGGTAGTCCATGCAGGTCAGGTCTCTCCAACACTTGTCTCCTCTGATTTTAATGAGACCCTAAAACAAACAAAACAGAAAACATCCTGAAATTAATATTTTAATTGCTTTTGAACTTTACATTATTCAACTGTCACTGATAAAAGGAGTTGGTAATAAAAAGTAAATAGTTTAACAGTTTAAATATAAAAAAGTCACAAGAACAAACACAGTCAATCACCGCTGCAGTCAGGGTTTATACAGGAAGGAGGAACTCTAATTTAATGCTTTTTAATGTTCTTAAAATAATTTTAATGCCATTAATAAGTAAAGTACCCATTACTCTCATATATATATATATATATATATATATATATATATATATATATATATATGTGTGTGTGTGTGTGTGTGTGTAAACAATGCATATGGTTTAGGATCAACCAGTACCAGTTCCATGCAAACATGTGGAACCAGTTAAATCTGATATATTTGATATATATATACATACATTTTTTAATAAAGCATTTTAAATGCCATGATAATCACATTTAATAAAGTTTAATGCCAATTAAGGCCTTAATTTAAAAAATAATAATTTAATGATTTTTAATGACCCATAGAAACCCTGGCAGTAACACTGCAGTAATATTTCATTTAGAGGAATAGGGGCGGCCTCAGGCACCCATGATGGAAACAATCAAGTTCATCAGTTGGATCAGGCAGAATGCTTCAAAAACCCAAACTGTTCAGGGTTACGTTTAATTGAACGTTGCAATATGGTGAAGCAAAGAGTAGGGTCCAAATTTTACAGAAGAGTTCTTTACATGAACAAAGAAAAAATAGAAGCTGTCAACAACTGTCACCGTGTTCAAGAAGAAGCAGGAGATACAGACTTTTGACTGGAGGTCAAGGACCTGAATGAGAACTTGATGGCAGGAGGACGAATAGTGAAGTATACATAGGAAAAAAAAACACTATTCTTTTTGTGAAACAAGATGACTTTGCTCCAAAAGAGAGTCTGTAATAAATCTTGAAAAATGTTAATCCACGCCACACCGGAAGAGGGACAGTCAGGAACTAAATGTGGGTCTAGATACGGCCGAGGCAAGTTTGTGCGAAAACGGAGGAACATAAGGGTGAAAAAAAGCGGGAATCCAGGTGGAAAAAGGATCCCAGCGTTCTCGTGCGCCTCGCTCTTCTAGCTGGTCCATCTTCACGAGTCATTTTCCACAATGGCGCTCATGCAAACAAAACAAGGTGGTATGGTACCAAACAGGAAATACGGATAGTGTAGAGTGGATGTAGATTTGACCAATCAGATACCTCCTGTCTGCGGCACTGTCTGCGGTCAGCAATAATTTTGGAGAGGTGCAGCAGAGTTTCTGCAGAAGGGGCACGGGCATACTTGCGTTCAGTGCAACACACACGCAGAAGCACCTGGTTTCTGAGTATAAATCAGTCTTAAGACCTCATCTGCTCATCTGCTTATGTGAATTTCTCCTAGAGAGATCCACCTATGAAGCAAGTTTCCATAACCACCTCTATCGTGGAAAGTATTTACAGATCAGTGCTTCTATGCATGTCTTCTTTAGTCTTCTTTAAACTGAGTTTATCCTCTCCATGTTTGCTATATGCATGTTCACTGTAAAGGATTACTGGAAAGTCAATTGAATGTCTCATGTTGCCAAAAGCTCAACAAGGAAGAGTGAATTCTGCAAATTAGACTGACTGGAGCATCCAGCTGGTTCTTGGTTTAACCAATTTGTCTGGATTATCTAATTAAATTGACTCTAAACCTTTAGATGACGTGTGTTGTGTACCGAGACTAAATAAATACATGAATCAAATTAAATACTCAGGATCTATAAAATATAAATTCCATATTAAATATACTTTACTTAAAAGAAAAAGAAGTCCATATCAAAAGCAGTAGAGAAAGAAATGATATCTACAACTAAAAACAAAGCAAGAATGCCACAGTAAAAACAAAAAACAACTACCTATTCATTTATATTGGTCATCTTTATGAAAGCCCCATAAAGTTCAGAACTGATTTTTATTTAAAGCTTCCCTGAGATGACTACCAGACAAATCCCAAGCTTTAGCACGTACCCACAAAGATAAAACAATGTTGTCTGTAGCCACATCAGAAAGGAGATAAATAGATTCCACTGTAAAATGAAGGACATTTCATTGCTCTGTGCAAAAAAAAAAAAAATCCACTGAAACTCAGACAGATTCACCGATTAAATCTAATCTGACATAGATGTAGCTGATCTAACATCTGCAAAAACGGCAATCCCAGATGTGCAGCCGCTTGAATCAATCTAAATGAACAAATCAGAGCTTCATTCTGAACCCAAATAACACAAACCTGGAAAAAAACCTGACCTGACTTGGGTGGCTGTTTTTCAACGCAGCTAAGGAAAAAGTTTATCCAAAACACAAGACTGTCAATATTGACACATCTGGCATGGAATGCAAGTAAAGCGTCTACATACCTGTTTAATTTAATCTAGGAAAAAAACAGAGTATCTGTTTGATCTGAAGCTTGGCGGTAAAGGTGGTGGAGCCAGATACTCTGCTGCTGATCAGATTTAGTCATTAGATGCAGAACAAAAATAAACTGACAGGAAGCAACAGGTAGAGAGCTTCCACAGATATCCTCTAAGGGTTAGCATAAGGGAAAGAGTTACATGTCATCAGATTACCAGGCAATAAAAGAAATAATCTGGTAGGTTAATTAATCTTTCACAAAATTATGCATGTGACACTAACAGGGTGAGTCTGCAGACATGCTCTGAAAAAAAAAGCTGTTTTTAGATTACATACTTTGGCAGAAAAGCAGCATTGGGCATCATCCTGCAAACACAAGGTGTAGGTGGCAGCATCATTTCCTTCCAAGAGAAACAGAAAGTCTGTCTGTTTGGAGGGAAAGCGGATAACACTAAAGACAGGGTGATGGTGACAGAAAAGCCGTTAAAGCTTACAGAAGACTGAGGTGGAGATGTTACTGATGCACCATCCTCGTCTGTCAGCATGTCAGGAATCATGAAAAACAAGCTTAAAAAAGGATGGTGTCACCTTCCAGAGCAATCTGCCTTCCCACAGTAGCCCCATCTTCAAAGGAACAACAAATCTTCACAGAAACAGCACCACATGAGATAAAAGGCTGTATTTATACAATGTGCTGCAGTTCATTTATAATAAAACAGCCAATGTTGCAGCTCGGAGTATTGATCTGACTGATATTAATGTGATATGATATCAGCATGAATGCTACATATTTTTATTGCTTTTTTAATAGTATGGAATGATAGAAAAGGTTTGATTACATGATATTTCTCAGAGATAGTCAACATCAGGTATGAGAACATTTCTTATTCACCTCACAGTTCCATAAACTTTAAACAAAGCAATGTGTTTCTATGAGCTTTCTATCTAGATTTTAGAGGCAGGCAGACATTTTCCCGTATTCAGTTTTTGCTGATATGTGACCAGTTTCCCATATCAATATCTGACCGATACATCCCCAGTTACAAGGATTTTATAAGGCCCCTTAATGCTTTGTTCAACCACCTTTAACTTCAGTTGTAGCAGCAGGTTTTTTGGGGATTGTCTCTCAAATTTTGGCATTGAATTGTTTCTTTAAAATATCTCACAGAGCTTAGAGGATGTCCAACAGAAGTTTTCATATCTTCCCACTGCTCTTCACTAGTGTCTGAACCTATAGGCCCATTTTAACCAACTGCTGCATTTTCCTATCAACAATCTGAAAAAAAAAAAAGCATCCATACACTATGATGCTGGTGGAGAGGCCATCTCCATAGTAATGTGCAGCATTTCCCACCACACATCTCTGAGAAAACATGTGCAAGACGATTTAAATTTCCATTGACTTTTTAATGTTTGAAACTAAATTCTGAATGTAAGATTCACGTTTATTTATCACTTCCACTGAAGGTAAAACAACAAAAACAGGTCAAGCTATGAACTCCTACATCAATTCATCTGTAATAACAAAACAGATGCCAGAAAGAACACATAATCTGGATCAACCTGCTGCTTTTCAAGCAAAGCTAAACATCTCTTGGATCTTACCTGATCTGAAAATTCAACAAAAATAGGAAATATGTAGATAAAGAGATGAGATGTTGCAAATGTTAATATTATAGCGAGTGTCCTCCCTGGTCCAGAGTCCTAAGAACATACCAAACATATTTTGAGTATTTCATAGTGAGCAAGCTTGCTACAGAACCTTTGCTACCATCGCATTCTCTGCTGATGTAACAAACCGTTCCACTCTATCACTGAAGATATGAACAAAGAGCTGACACTTTGTGGTTTTCATTGAAATCTGCTGCAAACAATGTAGATATCCTTGCATAGCATCCCCAGAAATGCACGAAATATGACAGGAGAGAAGGAACTGGGAGAAAGCAGGTCTTTCTATGGAAGCGTAAAGGCTCAGATGAGTTTCGATGAGAGGCAGGTTCTGTGTTACAGCAAACCTCCTGCTGGGAGGAGGTCCCCTCAACTGGTAGCTTTCATATAAAACCCAACTCTGTGCTCTATAATTCACCATGATCGCTGACATACAAGAAGGTGTTTTGTTAAGATGATCGCATTTTTGGTTTGCATTTACCAGAAACTCGCAGAGTTTTATAAAAAGGCATCAGTTTAAAGAAATAGTGAAAAAATAGCAGAATATACCAGGGATCCATGCTGCTAAAGGCGGGTTTTATTTTTTTTCAAATTGGTTTCCTGAGTGTGGAGTTTCCTTAACAGACCTAAGACCTAATCGTTCAATTTCAAATTAAAGTTTTAAATATTCCAAAATGTATTGATATATAGATTTTAGATTTCCAAGATAAATATTTAATCTTAATAATTTTTCATCAGATTGGTGTATTGCAAGAATGTTCAATCCTTGACTCTTGTTAAAAGTTGTAAATGCATAGTAGCCTCTCTGCAATACAGAAGTATGGGACGGTCCAGGGAGCAGCTAAGCAGCCACCTGAGGTGACAGGAAGTGTATTTGCTCACTACCTCCCAGCACAGTGCAGGCGTTTTGCGGGTGATTGACCGGTTGAGTTGTGGGAGTTGAAGACACATTGGAGAGAGAAATACATGGAGCAAGAAACGTCTTTTTCCAGGACCTGGTTTAGCTACAAGGCTTGGCTAACTGCAACCCGGATGTGCATCTGTTTGCGCATGCGCAGGACGGATCGGGTAGTGACAAGCTGCCAGTGTGGGTCCTTAGGCAAGACCCTTCACGCTAATGCCTGCTTTGGGGAGTGGCGCCCTAGTGGTTAGGGCATAGAGCTCAGGAATCTGGAGGTTCAACCCCCCACGAACACACACTGCCACTCCCTGAGCAAGAACCTTAACCCCCGCACTGTACCCTGGGCACCGCATAATGGCAGCGCGCTGCTCCCCACGGGGATGGGATAAAATTATTTCGTTGGTCTTTACTTGTGACAGTGTAAAGGCAAAAAAATCAAATAAAAAATACACAAACACGTTTCCAGTTTTTTTGTTTTTTTCAAAAAAACATTTATGTATGTTTGCAGTGCGGTGTGCTCTATAGTCCAGAAGATACAGTAATTTGATATTCCTCTGTGCAGTTTATAGGTTTCAAATCACTGTAAGGCTTTTTTAACTCATTCCATTCAACAGGACTTCTGTGCATGTGGTGCATTTCCCCCTCAGCAGATTTCCCTCTGTCTGATTTTACTCACAGCTCCTAGCATGATGCGAACGATGAGCCACCTGAAGGTCCAGATGCAGATGAGGGAGGGGGGACAGTTATGGGGAACCTGGGACAGGGTCCACACCGGACACAGGAAAATGGCCAGAAATCCTGTCTCCAGCAGCTGACTCTCCCAGCCTGCACACACAAACACATTAGCAGAGGGAAGCAGAGTAAACAATGCTGCCCAGCATTGGCTGTGATGTCATATTTATAATGCAAGTGGTGTAGAAATTAACCACAGTGTCATTCTGTGGTATTTATTTTCATGCTGAAATCTTTCTTTGTTTTCCACTTAGGACGGAGAGCAGAGCTACTTAAGCAAACATGTTCATGTTTGTGTTATTTCTTTGGTTCAGCTGCGCCCACAGCTGCTGACTCAAAGGTTGGCAGTTTCCACTCATCCACCAAATGAGTGGACAGAGCTCTGGTTTGATCAAAAACAGCAGCAAAAAGGTTGGGATCATTTCCCACCCAGAATTTAAACAGCTATTGAATGGGACTTTAACGTCGTTCCATCCATCCATTTATTCTTACCTGGAAAAAAAATGTCTGTTAAATGACATAAGAACGCTAATATGATTTAATAGATAAAGGTTTACACTCGTACAACTGGCTAAATATTTGGTAGGTAATAGAAAATGTGAGCTGGTTTAAAAGACAGATAAAAAGTAGGAATATTAAAAGCATCTTTTTTATGATTTAAAGTTTTTGTTCCTTTTTATACATGGATTTTTTTGTCATAAAGCTGTTTAGATTTAGGTAAATAAATAAAGAGAAGGTCCAAATTTACATCAACACCTCTCTCCTTATTCTTCCAATCCGCATCTTCTTTTGGACCAAAGAGAGGCCTGGTGAAGGTAGCATGATGTTTACTTACCAAACGAGTACCTGGAGAAACAAAAAGGGAAAGAAGAATTTATTTTTACAATGAAAAAATGTCTAAATATTCAGGCATAGCTTAAAATAACTGATTTCTTTTCTTAAGATGTGATGGCTTAATTACATTGGGATATTAGGGCCAAATTAAGAAACATTACTTTTTATAATGTCGAGACATAAAAAAATGAAAAGAAATTATTTTATGTCTACCAGAATAAAATAATGTTATGAGGGAAAAGTGGTAATATTAGAGAATTAAGTTATGAGATTAATAAAATGAATTCTTCTTATTATGAGAGTGTCATATTCAGTAGCAGCCTGCTATTATGTAAACTCTTACGGCTGCTCTTTGGATGTAAACCGCTTTCTCATTGGTTGACAGCAACAGTTGGATCACAACGCTACGAAGAAGAGCTGCTGTGATTGGTTTATTCACGTCTGCATCGAGTTCTGCTTAATTAAGCTGGTAAAGCAAAAAGAAAATGCAATTTAAAAAAGGATTTGAAAATGATAGATTAAAAGAAAAAGAAATCCCCTTTTTAAATGTCATATAATCAGATTTAGAAATTTAGTTTTTTTTTTTTTATCTCCATTTAGAAATACATTTTCAAATTCCAGTATTTGATAATGGTTTAATACATAAAATGTACAATTATGCTTTTAATAATTCAATTTAAAATGGTCAATTCTCAAATTGCATAATTTAAAAGCTGGTATTGTTTTTGAGTGATTCTCCTTTCTTAACACTCAGGCTGAAGGTTGGTTGAGGGATGACATCACTTCCTGAAAATGTCATTAAAGTTTTCTCTCTTGATTAAAACAACTTGTTCTTGGAATATTACGACTTTACTCTCATAAGCTCTCATTTAACCTACTTATTTCTCTTCATAAAAAGAAAATAGTGTCTTAGTCTGGCATTAATTCTCTGTCCAACTCACTGTATGCGCATCCTGCAAATAAAGCTCCACAGTTTAAAAGTATCTTAGGCTAAAATTTCCTACATAATCAAAGTCTATCAATTTATTTAGTTGCATTTTATTCTATGATCTCTCATCCTGTAAATTCTCCATCATTCAGACACTGACCTTATTGGATTAAACAAAGCTGCAGCTTTAGGAGGATAAACTATGTGTTGCTCAGTTGGACATCGTCTGTCGTTTTACTGTTAGATGACACTAAATCACATGACATTTTGTATGGTTCCAAGTTAATTACATAATCCATAAAACCTATTTTATGGAATTATGAAATATTTTTAAAGCAGGAAGTTTTCATTTATGAGAACATTTTCATTTACAGGATGTTTTAGCTTTAAAAAAAAAAACAAATACCGGATGAGATGAAGTCTGTGATTGGAATTCCATTCAAATATATTTTATTAATCCCTAAAGGAGATTAGATTTTGTAAAATGAATTTATCTTAATTAAATGCAGTTATAAGTTGTTTTTCTGCCCAGGCCACTAGAGGCAGCAGTATTTCTGTGTAGTTTAAGCTTAAAAGATTTAATCAGCTTCTATTTAGAGTCAGGTTAACTCTTAGATTTGTTTTTCCAGCTCATCCATGCTGTGTATAAACCTACCACAGCTGTCCTACGCTGACCAGAGAGTGGTAAAGCACCCAGAGCGTCCCCATGATGAGCATATTGGCCGTTCCTGTCACCAGGACAAACCCTGACAGCGCCATCCCCAGCAAGCCAATGCAATCCAGGTTGGTGTCCATGCTGCTCCAATCCAAGAACCAGAGGATGGAAGGGGTGTAGGCTAAGGCCGCTGTGCCGATCTTTCCACCTACGTAGCGTTTGACACTGTTCAGGTAGCTCTTGCAGGGCATCAGGCCGTTCTCCCCAATCAGCTGCTTGTTCTGGTTGTAAGCAACAATGAAGGCCACAACTACAAAAAAAAGAAAGCATTAGAAAAAAGGCTGAAATGATATTGAAAACAGAACTCTGATTTAGAGATTGACAGTTTTTTTTAAGGTGGATTTTGATAGTGTAACCGATCACCAATATCTGCTGCCGATGGAGCAGATGTTGCTTTTTCTTCCTCCATTTACTGATAAAAAATTTTATGTAATCTCTAGGTGCACAGTTTTTTATTGGTAAACATTTTACAGTGCAGTACTTTATTGTTTATCTTTTAACTCTTCTCTAGCATGTTATTATTACATTTTTCTAAGGTCCACATTTGTGTGATAATTTTTTCTAAAAAACTGCTTAAACCGACCAAATATATCTGCCAGTCGATGTTTCGCTACTTTCATCTATAAAATCTATATCCTGCAGCTAAACTTTAGGACTTTTTTTGTGTCCATAAGGTTTGTTAGTTACAAAAATCCAAACGGCTCTCTCAATAAAATAAAAAAAGGTTTCTTCAACACTCTATACCATGCTGCTTATCAACGTTTGAGGCAAATCCTGACTAATGGGAACCCAATCTTATCTAAATCTTGATCCAACAATTCCTAATTTGTGCACAATAATTATGTTTTTAATTAACAAAAATGTAGCTAAAATTCCATCAGATTGCTTATTATATTAAGTGTGTCATAACCCCTTCCCCACCCCCCTTTGGTGTCCATAATGGATCAGTCCATTTGCTGCACATGTTCAGAAAGGTCCAAACAGACAGCAGCAAACCATTTAAAAACAAAGAGCAGTGTTGCCAACTTAGCGCTTTAGTCGCTATATTTAGCAACTTTCAGACCCTCTATTAATTTTATTTCAAAAAAGCGCCTAGCGCCAAATCTAGCGACTTTTTTTCTGCTCCTGGAGACTTTGGAGACAACATTTAAAAACAGCGAACTCTGCTCTCCAGAGCGAGTAGATTGGTAACCCCGCCTCCTGCTCTCCTCTATCTTGTCTGCTGTCATGATTCATGCAGCTATTATTTCATCCAAATGAAAAACGGAGAACAGAGAAGCAGATCATGGCTTGTCTACAGTGAAAAGAAGGACTGGGTTATTTACTTTGGCCTTTTTGGAAACACAGGAAGGAGCAATCAGCTAAGTGAGCTTAGTGCTAGGAAAAAATCTTTCATTCCTTTAGAGACAGCATGAAAAGTCAGCTGAGTACCAGAGAGAGGAAAGCAACAAGAAAAGGGACAAAACCTATAAGAAATAATATTTGTCTATTCTATTAAAAAATTCTGTATCTGTATAATGGGTTTGTTTTATGTTTTGTCTTCTCAATTCAGAGGGCCCCCTGGCTCTCTTTCCCTAGGGCCCCAAATTTCCTAAATCCGCCCCTGCAGTGGACAAACATCCATGATGGAGGATTCATCAGACCTCTGCTCTCCATCCTTTTATTCATCACACAATTTCTGTCCCTCCTTTATGGTTTTTATGCTGCCTGCAGCCAATATTGAACAAATCCTGCACCAGAAGCCTCATAACAGACTGCTGTCCAATAATAAAGGAACTTACTAAACACTATGGACATCTTTAGTCTCCTGACACTGAACGTCTCACCTAATGGTGCAGAAAGTTCAGCTCCAACCAGCAGATATATATATATATATATATATATATATATATATATATATATATATATATATATATATATATATATAATCATTGCTGTGTTTCTAGTCAACACAAGATGCTGACATAAAAGAAGAGGATAACTTCTAGCGCTCATAGTTCTATAATTTTGAAGATGTTTATTGAGTAACTTTTTCATGGTTGAAAAAGTACAAAGTGAGGAAACATGTTTTCGGTTATGAGAAAACTTTGAGAATTTAACTCACAGTAAATAAAAGCCACTGAGCGAAGCAGCACAACGCGAGTTAGCCAATATGTTCCAGGTTGTAAGGACAAAAACTTCTTCGTCCCAGAGTCCCTGTTTCCTTTGTCTCCATTTTCTGAGTTTTCTGAGACTCTTTCTGTCTCCTGTCTCCTGCTGTCCACGCGCCTCTTCCTCACGGAGCTCCCTTCAGCTGCAGCGGTGGCCGCCATGTTGACTCAGATCTTTGTCACGTGACAAACACAGAACCGGAAGTGAGTGTTAAGTATAATAATATCTGTGCGTTTTAGAAACATGTATTTAAGAACAATAACTCATCTATAATATTCAAAACTATATTTTTATTTTTAATATCTAATAAATTGATTCCTTACATGTATACTATTTATTACTATCTAAAGTTGTTTTGAAGAACTAACCAAAAATGTAATTTAACAAAATATAAAAAATAAAAAAATGCATATTTTGTTATTTTTCTATGATTCTTTTAAATACATTTAGAAACAAGTTTAAGTGACTGGTAAAAATGAATGCGTTTAAATTAGGGATGCACGATATTGGGATTTTGGCCAATATCCGATATACCGATATTTTAAAACTCATGTAGCCGAAAACCGATATCGATACCGATGTTAAAGCTGGACAAAAATAAGTAGTCATTGAAAATAGCAGTTTTGTTATCCATTTCTGACACTTTGAAAAATAATATACTCAAATATATTTTTGATATGCTGATATCAAATCGATTTTTAAAAATGCGGTATCGATCTATTTTACTTTCAAAATCTTGTGAAATTTCATCGTTCTGTTACAAACTCTCGTGATATTTTGCAAATTCTTGGGAGATTTTGTTAGTAAAATAGATCGATACCGCGTCAATATATCAACATACAAAAATATGGCAAAATTTCGTGAATTTTCGGGGGATTTCGTAGCATAACGATGACATATAACAATATTTCATTAGCAAAAGTGATTGATATGGTGTTTTTAAATGGCAATAGGGCTTGGTCGTCATGACGTAAGCACTTTGCATCGCCGCCATCTTGACGGCCTCTTTTACCGCGGCTCAGACTACTGCCTATGACTACCGCATACTGTACTCCCTCTCAGCCGCGTTTTAATTTTATTAATTTCACCTTAGCTTAATTTCAACCATGGTAAACTGTTGCTGTATTGTGGGCTGTAACAGCGCAACACATGATCGCCATGGGAAAAACATAGAAAATGGGTTTTCCACCGCTTTCCTGCCTGGAGGCGTAACCATGGAGACCAAGCGTCAGAGATAAATAGTCGTCGGCTAGCTTGGATCGCGGCTGTAAGACGACCGAACATAACTTTCCACAGTATTCCAATGTCATTGAGAGTGTGTTCCCTGCATTTTCATTCTGGTAAGTTAAAGATGCATGGTTTTATTTTATAGCCTACTTTGTTTCTTTCCTTCAAAGTTGGGATCTTTTACGGGAAAATAATAAAAACGGCAGCGGGAAAATGCTCAAATATGTGAGAAACCCGGAGGGTTGGCAGTTAACGTTACTAACTACACCTTTGAAACACATAGCAGCTAGTTAAAAGTACATTACATGCATGAGTGGTTGTTAGCATTAGCGGTTAGCAGGTGCTAAACTAGCAGGTTCAGAGCCCGTCTGATCACAGCTTAACTTTGTACGGATTACTGTGTTCCCACTGTTTGCTGGCTTTATGATCTGCAGCTCCTGAACCCATCCATTCATGAACTGCACATGAGACTCCAAGGACTTGTAGCTTGGGAACTGTTTTGAAGTATAGGCACTCACTCATCGGTGTTCCACTCATTGTTTGGAACTTCATATGGATCCAAATTATTAATAATGCTGATTTTGTCAACATACCGGTCCGTGGCTTCTCTATTTAATGTGTCCCGGTAAATTCCAGATCTTTTTCGGGATTTTAACATCTTTTTTCTCTCTACTTCTACGTCTCTTCTTTCAACAACGTTGTATCAGAGCTATGTTTACGTTTGCGTAGCCGTCAATATGGCCGCGACGTCCCACAATGCAACGTGGATCCCGAGCCCTATATATCAGCATATGAAGATATTGTGATATTTTAATGTATCAATATTTTTTCCCTCGTCTTTAAAAGTTTTTAAGTCTGTAAAAAATAAGTTTTTGAGGAAGAAGAAGAAGTAGTATTTTTATATTTTTTTCAGACTTTAGAAACTCAGAAGCTGATCAAATATCGGGTTAAATATCGGTGGGGTGGCCGATGTCCGATATTCAGTTTTAAGGCCGATACAGGCCGATACCGATAGGGGGCCGATTATATCGTGCATCCCTAGTTTAAATAGCTGTACAGTAGCAACATCTGATTTATAAACAGTTGTTTTACAGTCACAGGGAAAACTGTTTTACAGTCACAGGGAAAACTGTCATTCACTGACACCTTCATTAAAGGTAATAAACCACAAAAGTTTAGCCTTCTACTGATATGATATCTGTTTTATAGCACTCTATCCATGCAATTAAAGTAAGGTTTAGTGGAAGATAAAACTGTGGAAGTAATATTTGTACCTACTAATGCATATTTATTATTATTATTTTAGCGACTTTTTGACCTCCAAAGAGTGTCTTTTCTTTTAAAGTGTCAGTTCAGTCATTTTGTCATTTTTGTTTTAAAAATTATAACGTGATTTAGGATTTTTTTTTTTCTTTGTTTACTTTACTCAGGAAGGAGGTTCCCTGATGTTTTACACCAGCCAATGGCCCCAAAGGGGTGGAGAGAGCCCAGCGTTTTAAAGACTTTATTTGCCTAAGTTGTCTGACAGTGTGTGAGGATATGTAAGGGGATGGCAGCCCTGTGCCAGATCTTTTCCCTCAAGGAACCTCATTTATTTACGTGGAGATCCGGGAAGAACCGCGCGCCTTTACGCTCTTGGATGGCTCTTCTGTAACTTTGATTAAAGTGAAATATATCCAATAAAACTATGGCCGAGGAGCACAATATACTGACCGAGGATCCATGCAGCCCACATAGCTGTGATAGCTCTGCGCCCCGGGATGAACTGGACCGAGATCCTCCAAACTCTCCTGCTGGATCTGATGCGCGCGGAGCGGAGAGCTGCGCGCAAGAGGAGCGCTTCCCCGCATGCATCCGGGACGCGGTTTCACAGGTGCTGAAGGGATATGACTGGTCGCTGGTGCCTATGGCGACCCAGGGGGAGAGGGGGCTGAAGAGTAAACCTCACGTAAAAAGGCCGATGAACGCCTTCATGGTTTGGGCGCAGGCGGCGCGGCGGAAGCTGGCGGACCAGTATCCACATCTGCACAACGCTGAACTGAGCAAGACTCTGGGCAAGCTGTGGCGGTCAGTGTCTGATTTAGCTCACATAGAACTATAGTCAATGGCTTAACAAAGTACAGAAGTTTTTCAAATCATCTGAAAAGATGAACATGTCTGCTTTCCTCCACTGCAGTGCAACAAACCAATGCCTTAAATATTCACAAGTTTAAAAAGTTTTAATCATTAAAATTGTTATTTATAGGGCAGTTGTTTTCAGGGCTTCTACAAGGCTCCTTTAATCATTGGAAATGTTAGATCAATGACCAGGGGCGCCTCCAGAAAGTTTAGAAAGGGAGGCTACTGACACAAAACAGCAAGCAATGGAATAGTTTTATTTATATATATGTATATTCTCTTATAATATCAAAGGGAATAGCAGAAAATGGCCTTTAAGTTTTAACCTTCTTGTGTTAAATGATGAGTCTGACCCAGAATAAGTTGTTTAAGACTTCTACCAAAAAATGGGTAAAAGTGAGTGTGATTTAGTTAAAGGGGTAGGTCAGGAGATTTTGGAAGTGATGATCTTTTTGAGTTATAACAACTTAGATCTTACCTTTAGTAGATGACCTTACTGGTGCTTTCATTTAGCATAAATCTAGGCAGAAAGAAAACATTTTGGATAAAAAAAAAGTTTCTGAAAAATTGTAATTCAATAAACATTTAATTAGTGTAACGTTTGCATTAAGCTGTATTTTGATTATTCTTTTTTACACAGGTAGGTAACAGCTGGTGCACCAACAATGATCTTCTTGTGTGAAATAAATATAAAACTGAATCAGCAGAAATAAAAAAAAATGGTCTTAGCTAATTACCCTGGCCTGGTGTGGTCTATATTTAGTTTATCTATTGTATAAACAATTGCATACTTATAATTTATACGATCAGATTCAAAAAGACCAACAAGACAAATCTGAGATTACCATTAAGGCAAAGAATGTCTGCATTGTTGTTGCTTTGTCGCTGGAAGGATTGCTGTTAGCTTTAATGTGAATTTATATTTAAATAAAAAGGTTGGATGAATTATGTAGTTCAGGTAAGATATTAAAATAGATAAAAACACTTTAACAAATTAGTTATGATTGTAGACTAAGTTTTAAATCAGAAAATGATGTCATATTACACATTTCCAAACCTTTTTTGACATTATCATTAGTTTATTAGTGAAAGGATGACTGTTGCACATAGCTAGCTTTATCTTGTGCTAACTTTTTAACAGTTATAAATCTGATTTTTGCTTTGATGGAACAAACTCGTAGTCTTGTGTGAAATAAAAAGTAACTGACAAAACTCACTGAGGTTGATGATGTTCTACAGCATAATTTTCCAGTTGTACTATTTCTCAACATAACACACTGGGTCACTATTTACTGTTGTAGCCATTCAAAATTTTCCCACTTTCCTTGATGGGCCCTTGGCAGGTCCCCTACAGTTCCTTCTTAAACATCAATATTTGCTCTAAAATATTCTTTCTGTCCTGATTTGGACATTAAGCTTTAAAGAGTAGCATCACCTCCTGGTCAGACCCTGTAATTCCGTGAAAGGGTGGAGTCAGAGTAAAAAAATATGCAAGAGGGTTCACCCCGGTGGCTGGAGGTTTAGTTGGGAGTTGAAGGGAAGGGGGCTGCCGTTCAGCTGGCATTTGACTTGGAAGGGCCATTTTGAATGGCTGCTACTGTAGAACAAATCATTTGGGTTGCACACATTGTTCCACACAGATCATTTTGTAGCACTAAAGGATTGAAGACCATTTGAACTGTAAAATGTCAGTTTTTGTTGTTTTTTTAGTATTGAATGTCAGTTAATCAATTTATTTATGCATTAAGTTTAATATCCTTTCCACTCATTGCTTCCTGCTTTTGTCAGGCTTCTCTCTGAATCAGAAAGGCGGCCATTCATTGAGGAGGCAGAAAGGCTA